TCCGATTTCGACGGTTCCGACAATGCGCAGCTTATTAGAGAAAAAACTACATGTACAAAATGTATGATCAATATCTAAAAAACTTAGGGACAGAAAGTCGGAAAACAGACAGACGTGGCTAGATTCAACTCATCACGCTGATCATTTATATATTCGTGTACGCGTATCCGATTTGTTTTTTGGCAAACTTAATATACCCTGTTCAAGATACAAAAATAATTTTTGTAGTATGATAATTGTCCTATGAATCAATCTTTAAACTGCCACGGATATGAATGTATACATGTATTTGTTTCATTCTCTTCCGTACTGAATAATACTGGAAATATGTATTTATTAAAGGGTTTGACAATAGGGTTATATATTTTTTTCATCTAGTGAAATTATTTATCTACCCCAATAACTACCTGCAAACCTGCAAGGCATCCCATCGTACTAATATATATTATATAAGCATATTATACAAACGAGGTGTGTTTGAAATCAGGGTGCGTTTTTCAATTTCGCAGGCGATAAGCCCACTGCGGATTTTATTATCAAAATGCTTATATTCGATTTGTAGAATCGGCGATATAACATCAATAAGAAGCTATTGAACTTTTTTAATAATCGTTCCTGAAACTAGAATTAGTATGAGTATTCGGCGATCTTCAAATAATCAAACTGAACATCGATGGATCAAGTCGATCAAATTTTATTAATTTAATGCTTTTTTTTTTTATAACGGTACTAAGGAAAATGCGAAACTAATTTTGCACTTTGACAATTGAAAAGTTCTAAAGCTGCCAATTAAAGTGCCCACAGGAAGGGCATCCATACGTGCTTCGACTGCTTAGAATTAATAATTGAAGCGAATGGTACTGTAACTTTAGACAAAGAATACGGACTTAACAAAGAAGTATCACAAATTCATTTGTACGCTAAATACTAATTGCATTGACAATCGTAAAATACATGGCATCTGTGGTAAATGTTGCGAGCTTATTTCGAAAACAATTTTCATGAATAGATAAGCAAACTTGGTGATACTTTGCAGTCAAAGTCTGACGGACGGCAACGAGGAGCATTTCTACTTCGAATAGATATGCTTGTATTTTACACAGCAAATTTAATAGCTGTGGTTTCTGTATGCAGTGTGGAACCGTAATATTTGGTGGCAATGTTCGACAGCACCTGCACACAAAATCGCCCATCGTTGACGTGTAACATAAGATTGGTGTGGAACAAAATGATGTAAGTGTGAATGGTTATGTGAATCCGTATGTCCGCTTTTGTTTACAAAACAATTGTGTGCATAATTGAACATACTATATTGGCTTCCCCAAACTTGTATTAGATGCCACTTCTACCTCGCTGTGGCAGTGATTCCTTGACTTAGAATTTTCATCTGCCCAAGCTATGGTCCGACCTTTATCTTTATGGTTAGCTTATTGCAATTATGGAAACATATTTTGATTGCTTTTATGTAGTAAGTGTTACTAGCTGCTAGTTGTCCTCGTTTTCTCCTACTAGGGAATGCACTTGTGTAATTACATGGTGCCGTATCAGAATCGTCAAGTGTAAGGGAGCGTCGCCAAAAAGTTGTCTTTCTTTGCATAAATAATATCATACACAACTTTTAGGTTAATTACTAATTTAACGTAAATAATTTTCACACCCCATTCAACTGTAATAGTCTTTAATACATATTTTTAATGTACTTAATGCATCGATATTTTATTGGTATAGTTAAATAGTAAAAAGTGTAAAATTTCGGTTCACGCTAACCACTCAACAGCGAAAGTAAGTACTTCTCTACAAATATACCAAAAAACCATATAAACCAATAATGGTAGCCTCAAAAATAAATAACACAATGCGTTGTGTAAAAAGAAATTGCAAAACTTACTAATGTGCAAATCGAAAAATAATTTTTAAGTCAACATCTGATTTTGCGAAGGAAATCTATCGCGTCTATTGTCTACCAGTAGACAACAAAGTAACTTCCAGCGAAAAAATTCAAACACAAATATCCACCCAGTCCACATGTCAAAAACAGGTTGTGACGAAAAGAAAACCGAAATTCAAATACCCAAACTCTTAATACGTACTTTTTCATGTGTAGCTCAGAATACCAAAGAATGCAATATTTTTTTAAAATTAGTAGGTACATATGTAAGGAATGGAACATTTGTTTTTTTAAAGTGCGCCTACTACTAATTATCTAAGTTAATATATTATATTTTGTTGTATTCTCTTCTCTCTATTTAATTACCCACTAATTCTGAGCTCGTCTAGTTTGTTATTACTATCAAAACCACAGTGCGCGAATTCGAATTTGCATTTATCTAGTTTTAAAATAGTTGAGGATTTGAGAAGCTTTTACTACACGATTCACTAGAGAAATGTAAATTTTTTGAGCCGTTGAAGATTCAGGTTTTATTGAGCTTTGGGAATAAACACCAACATTGATAATTTTACATGTACCATATGTTAATATATATTTCTAACTTTCTTTTAGCAACGTGAATTTGTTATGAATCTGTAGTTATACTACTATTGGTATTCAATCACTGCGAACCTAATCCCCCAACATCAACTTTTTATAACGTTTATCTGTTACACAAGCACTCACTTTTAACATATAAATATGTACATAAGAGTGTACATATATGTACACACATATACATGTACGTATATAAAGCATTTGGTCGTGCATCTGATAGGTGCACCCGTGAATGCAGAACATGCGCTGTGCGTACCTGCGCATCGCCATAAATGTGCTCCATGATCATCTGCATCATGACTGCTGCAATGGCGCGTACATGCAATCATGAAATTACCGTCATGACGCGTCATAAGCATTTCATTTAGCTAAATGAACACAAATTTGTTGATACATATGTTTTTGGATTCATATGTGTACATAAACATTCTAATGGGTTATTGACGAAACTTTTTCGGCTTGGTTATTATTATATATTTAAAGTGTTCCACTTTACTCATTTTTCTCTTTTGTAAGTGTTTTTTGTTTTCACTTGTGAAACCAGTTTTGTAGCATCGATATTATCAGTGAATGAATATAATCCAGTTCGCTGCTGTTCTTGACCATTTCTTGAAATTACAGAAGTTAATGCGGCATTGCTTGAAAATTCACACAAAGTCTTGGTCTGAATTATGTCGTTTCGTAGAATAAAGAAATTGAAAATAATTTTAACATACTTATGTATATTCAACTTCATCATTTATTGGAGAAGAGAAATGAGCAAAAGGCACAGATTCGAAATTACCGCCGCTTTACCAAATAGGTAAATGAGCATTAAAATAATTTAAAGGCAATTTGTAAAAATTTGGAACAACACTATGTTAATTTGTAAGCGTGCAAGTAAGAATTAAAGAAGAAAAGAAGTGAGTTTTTACCAAAAAAGAGAGAGCTATGGTTATTCTATAATTTATAATAGTACCATTACAAGGGTTGCAAATTATTAATTAAACATTTTTGAATCTAAATTAAAATTTCAACATCGGAATTTAAAAATGAAATTCGAAAATTTTAGGATTACAAATTGAGCTTTCTCTTTCTAATACCGATGTTGCGGATTTTTAATTTTTAATCCAAAATGTTTGACCATAACAGATCCATAACCAAATCAAAAGTGATTAAAAAGCATAGCCACAGTAAATAATACCCACTCGAGTATCACTCGCTTTAAACAATTGCGTGTAAAATAAATATTATAACCGTGCCTTTGGTCAACAGACAATTATTTCTATATCACCATATTCTGTAGTAATGAAGAATTCCACGCCCTTAATAAATAGAAAAGTGTTCCACAGAAAGAAACTGTGTATTCAATTATAGCGCATTATGAAAATGATAAGACGCAAGCATCAAATAAGAGAGAGACGTCATATAAAGAAAGAAGATGATCATTTCACTATAAAATATCAACATTTCACAATTAAAATATTAGTTTATTTACTTATCAGTAAACATTGCAAATGATATCATCAAAATGTAAAATAAGTAAGTAGCAACGCCATGCAAAATCTTTTTTTTCGGTTTCTATACTGACCAAAAGACCCACACAAATTAAAACCTTTGATAACGTCTCAATCAAAAGCCACATATGCAAATACTTGCTTACTTAAATATATACAAAAATATATATATCTCTAAAAGGCGCTTCCGCACACGCTCATGAGGCTTTATAGCAGACAACACTTAGAAAATAACTAGTTTCATTTATCATTGATGTTAGGTTGAAAATAAGATATTCAAAATTTTGCTTAACACGCGATTTGGACGTGCGTTAATATGGGTATGACAGTATTTTAAGGCGGGTAATTTTGTAGCAAACGAAGTGGAGTGAAATATAAACGCCTCTGGGTCATTAAAATAATCAACATCTCCATCGTCGCCAGCGGGGTCGTTGTCACTATTTCCGAGAGAGCCGCTCATAAGTTTGCCGCTACTTTTCTACTTCATACGATATTGTTATTGTTCAATTAATATGAATATAAATTAGAGCGGGTTGATTTACAGGGAGCCAAAAAAACGGAAAAATCGCGTATGCGCGAAATATTCTACGGTTAATTCTGAACTACTTTGTCTAAGAGAATATAGGTCTAAAACCAGTTTTGAGCCAGCGATTTTATTATGAAGTATTATGGATCATAAAAATTTCTTCGAAAATTTTTAATTAAGTAATTTTGCAGAATAGTCCTCTAATACATACTTTACAATGATAGTGAAAAAAAAATCGGACAACTATGTATAACATTATCTCCCATACCAAAAAGAATAAAATAAGTTTTATGTGTATATAAATTTGATTAAAAAATAACATCATTCACATATAGCGAATTTTATTGTGCAACCATTTATATCAAAGGTTTTTATTTCTTTTAAAATGCAAGCAAATCTTAAATTCGCCTGCGCCCCAACTCCGCTTCTTGTTTATTTTGTTATGCTGTTTCACTTTGTTTGTTATCATTTTTCCTTTTTGCTTTTACAATAGCAATGTGGGCCGCAAGCGAAAACACCCAGTACAAGTCATGCAGTGGAATTTATGTCGTGGCATTAATTGGCTTCCCTATAAACATATTGCACTATACCGGCAATCCGTGATTCAGATTATTCGCCATTTATTCGTTTTGTTGCCGCCTTGCCGCCAGGCAAAAAATCTGGTTCCGCCGCAAATCTCAATTGGAATGGCTTAGTAAGTGGTAACTCATTATCCTCGCACTTCTCGCCGTCGACTTTACAGAAGGCCAGTTTTTAGTACACATTTTCGTTTGTATCAGTATTTATCATGTATGTACATTTTTTCAGTTGCGTCTCGATCTAGCCTAAATTTTTCTTGTCCCCTATTTACAGCTTGAAGTTTTCTTCAACGCAATATAAAAGCAATTAAAATGAAATTTCACTGCTGTAGCTACTGCTCAAACCCCCGATCGCTTTGTAATTAAAATTGAATTAAAAAATATGTATTTTATCTTTATTATGGTAACAGGCTGTAGCAAACGAATGAAGGCGATAGCTGGCGAATACCATAAAATAAGCTACGAATATATTCGGTCCATCTACGAAATAAATTTTGGGATTTGGTTCGGTGGTTGGTTGTGGTGAACTGGTGGCTAGAACGGTGGATGCAGACTTTCAATTGAGGATTAAGTAATGAATAGCGAAAAGGCAGTCGGGAGGGTAGAATGTACGCCACAATGTATCGAAAAAATATTCGTGAATGTATCACGCAAATGCAAAACAAGCTTCAAGTTGCATATTTAATTGCAATAACACATCTTTCATATCTCTCAAGACTCGTTTGGTGTGATTATTTCACAGGTGATTGACTCTTTAAATTTTTATATACGAATGCACCTTTTATAAGCGAATTTTTATTTTCGAAATACACAAAAACAAGTTTTGTAAGTTATTAGTATTTATTAATATAAATGAGTGTGTTTATAAAATATATGATTAAAAAAAAATTATATATGACGAATTCTTAGAAATAAATCTAAATAAAAAGCGGAAAGTATTATGAATTAAAGTTTAATTTCACGTTTAGATAATTTTCAAAACAACATAGGCTGTTATAAATTTGTAAACATACTACGACTACCAATATACACATATTTGAACACTATATAAGAAAAATACATAAATGCAATACAACCTAAAAATATAGCCCCATTACAAGGAGAGGCACTAAGACTGGTGAAAAAGCTGAAAAAAAGTAACTTAAAAGATTGATTTAAAAGAGAGAATTTTATACTCTGAACAGGGTATATTAAGTTTGCTACGAAGCTTGTAACACCCAGAAGGAAACGTCGGAGACCCTATAAAATATATATATAAATAATCAGCATGATGAGCTGAGGTGATTTAGCCATGTCCGTCTGTCCGTCAGTCCGTCTGTATATATGCAAACTAGTCCTTCAGTCTTTAAGCTATACATCTGAATATATAAGCTTGCACCTGCCCTTTTCTCACCAAGAAGCTGCTCGTTTGTCGGAACGGCCGATATCGGACCACTATAGCATATAGCTGCCATACAATTTGAACAATTGGAAGTAAGTCCTTCTATGGGAAACTTTTTTATTTAACGTAATATCAATAACAATATAATTCCCGAAGAAGTTGTTTTGATCGGATGACTATAGCATATAGCTTCCATACAAACTGAACGATCGGAATCAAGTGCTTGTATGGAAAACTTTTTCATTTGACGAGGTATCTTGATGTAATTTGGCATGAGTTATTTTCTAAGGCAAGAATATAATCTCCGAAAAAATTTTTTAGATCGGATCGCTATGTCATACAGCTATCATATATACTGAACGATCGGAGTAAAGTGCCTGCTTGAGAAAAATTTTTATTTTTATTGCCGATTCACGAAATTAGACCTGAATCAAGTTATTGTAAGGAACCTTTGTATCTGTAAGGGGTATTATAGCAACCGAAGTTAACGTTTTTTCTTGTTATCCTTGCTAGTTCTTCGATGCAATATTTTATACATCTTTATATACATATATATATTTTCTCTGTGCGTTTGTATGACACTGAACTCCGGCTAAACGACATGACCGACAAAACTCAATATTTAAGATATCTTAGCAAATTTAACTAAACGTATAGTATATTGGATACACTACAGTTTAATGCAAAATATGTGTAATATCGGTCAACAAATTATCCAGCTTTCATATACCATACAAAATGATTTTCGATATCATAGCATACTTTATGCCGAAAATAATGCAATCAGCCTAAATCTTTCTCTAGCCACAATATATTCGATAGTGCTATTTCGGACTTTCCATCTTACCATAAACCGCTTATGACGTTAGTTACTAAATATACTATTGTGTATCTAAAATTTAATATGAGGCTAAATTATTTCTACAGTGTAACGGTTTCCTCTTAAATTCCACTCAAAATGCAACCATACCCTTAAAACTTCAATAATAAATTTTTATGACAGGATACTTTTGAGGCTACTGTATATTTACTTTTTATTCCCGTCATTTTACCTTGAGCATGAGCATGCATTGAGATTCAGTTATGGAATTTAGGTAACATAATTCTGGGAAATAATTGACGAATTTTTAAGAACTTAATTACTTGTACATGAAGGAAAAGTAGCAATGTGAGTTATCACGTTATATGATACACGTAAGATATAAGCACACATTCAAGCTTCATATTTTCTACTTAATTGACAATTACCGCAGCTTTGCAATCAACATACACACATGAACCCCCTTTGAAAATTACAAAAGACAAAAAACAGTTACCATTAGACCGAATATACAGAAAGGTCAAAGAGAATCTGCTAGCTTAAAATTTGCCGAAAACTAAGCAAATACCATAACCTAAGGGATGTCATCGAATAAGGGAATGCAATTTTGTGAAAAGTGAAAGTTCTAATTTGATAAAAAATATCGAAATCTTACAAAGGGCAAAATAAAGAAGTGAAAACAAACAAGCTGGCATAAAAATCCAACTTGAACGCTGATATTCGAAGCGTTTGATATGAAGTATAGAATGTGGTGCACATGTGTTGTGGTTGTGTAAACCAATTCGTTTGCAATATGTATGTACTTGTATGTATACATATATAATATACAAGCAGTAAAAGTGAGTAAGGTTTTCATTTAAGCATATACTAGTCGACATCTACTTGAGCGATGTTGTTTAATTTTGCGCGAAATTAAAGCAATTTTCCATCTCACCATTACAAGCCGCTTTATATGGCGTTATAGGGTTGACTTCTGCAACTGTTTATGTTGTGCGGATAAGCTTCCTGAAATGTGATGAGTTCCTTGCTATTTTTTCAGGGAGAAGAAGATCAAAATGTGCTGTTAACTATCGAAATAAAATGTAAGAAAACGGTCAAAAAATGTCTAAAATTTTTCAATGTACGTTCAATACACGAAACACTCTTCTACCACCGTAGGGGATTTCTTGCTTGAATTGTCTCGAAGTGGAAGGCGTAAAAATATGGAGAAAGCAAAATTGCTAGGGATCGCAAAAAAAAAAAGTTTAGTTTAAATCTCATTTATGGAGTTGGTAATATTGTATGCAATACATTTGAGAAAGTCTACATATATCAAGTTAATTTACATTAATAACAATAACAAGTGGTGTAAGTTGTTGAGAAAAAATAGATTGTAAGCAGAACCACAGAAGCTATATGTACGAGGATGTTTTTGGAACTCAATGGTTTTGTAATTGTGACACTTATATGGGTGTATACCTATATAATATAAGTAAGTCTTTTAATTCTGGTTGGTACTTTTGATTTTTCTTAATTAATCCTATTTTTATCATTCTGACGTCAATAATATTTTACAAGAAGCGAAGGCAATTTGTGTCCTTTCGCTCATAACAAATTGAAATTTTCTTGTTATCTGTGTTTTTATATTTTCGCAATATGTTGCAACAGGATATAATAGTTTTATTAACTAAAGGTTGGCTTAAACTAAACAGGATATATATAGAGCTATACATGTCTAAAAATTTTCGATGTCAGATGGTTGGTATACAAACCCCCGATACCGAATAAGAGCACTTCAGTTTCTATGGCTGACTATTTATGGAAAACATCGATCAAGCTGTGAGATGTTTAACTGAAATTCAGAGAAAATCTTTTTTAATTATACTGTCCCCTTGTATCAACAATACTAAAATCGTGTCAATACTTCCCCTAGGCCCCATATACCTAATATAAAGATTTTCGAACTTCCAGAGACAGTGCGTCTTTGTATCGAAAGTGAATAAATCGGGTCAATACGGGAAATATTATATATGTATGTATAATATAAGTATTTTCAAGCTTCCAGTTGTCTTTATACCGTATATTTCTATTAAATTTTAAGATATGTAAGTAAAATTATTTAAATATATAATATTAGATATAACCCAGCTCCCATATAGTATGTATAATGATTTTCGTTATTTTGGTAGTCTTTGTGCCGAATATGTCGATCAATTTATGTGATATTTCAATGAAATTAAGTAGATATATTTTCTTAAACATAATATGGCTTGGCGCTGATATGTATGAGGTTGGTCATGACCGTGGTCTACGACCCATATAATACAACGATTCCTTTTTTCTGTTTCACTTTTTTCTCAGATGCCAAATATATTATTTTAGCCACTTTGGTTCAGTTTAAAGTACAAAGATACATATATCTCATTTGAGTTTTTGATTTTAATATAAATATCTCATATATGAGTATATATCTACAATCTTTAAATATTGGTTAATACGGTACCAAACTTAATTGTAATCCTTTCACGTTTTTGTCGAATATTAAATGTTGAATTCTTTCGCAACATTTTGTAGTATAAAGTTTTGCCAACTTCGTAAAGTATTTCAACGCCTTTATTTCTTGCAAACTGCGAGTGTATGAAATGTTCGGTTGCACCCAAAATCAGTTCTTCCATACTTGTTTTTTTTTTAATTGTCATAGCATTTGTGTCCAATTCTAATTGGTGCTGCATGTACATATTGCGAGCATATGTATATAGTATTTATTTATTGCAGCCATACATTGTAGCGCTTTTATAAGATTTATGAGTATTTATAATGAACTTGTAATTATGCGTTGCTGTGCGTAAAACAAAGCCACGTCACCCCCAAACAAAATCTCAACAAACATTAATGTCCTTTGCTGTGCTCACCATTAAATACTGCACCCTTTTCCGATGCCCTGTAACCCTTTCAATACCTCCTTGCAGCAGATTTTGTGTCGGGTACTGAATGTTATACATATGCGGTACGGAAGTCATGAAGTACTGGTCTCTGATTAGCACTTACGCAAGATATAGTAGTTTCTCTTTTAAATGCGTATTAAAAATATATTCATGTATATTTGCGAAAAATTTTTGCTTTAAGCAGGTTAAATAATTCGTTTGATATAATGAGTCTCAAATACAAGAAAGAAGAGAGATGTTCCACAAAAAGAAAGCAAACGGAAACGCGACTAGTAAAGCTATCTGTTTGTGGTTAGAATAGCTTCAAAATAATTAATTTAAAATAATTTTTTTTAAAGATCCACGTTAAATAATTAGTTGTTTAGTTAAATAGCAATATAAAAGCAATTAATTTTAAGAAATATTTAATTAAAATTAAAATTATTATATATTAAAAATATTAAATATTGTAGGAATACGAAATAATTTGATATATATACATTTTGTTTTTCAGTTATGCATACATTGCATAGAATTTCATAGACAAACATTGCATGTGAAACATAGTCGTAGTTATACTTCACACAGCGCATAGAAATTCGGTGTTTTTTAATTTTTATGAGAGCACGCAATTGTGAATTATCATCAATGAAATTGTCAAATTGAAGTGCCTCAACAGACGCAATGAGAGAAAAGAGAGAAAGGAGC